CTACTTGGCTTATTCAGCTGCCACACATTGACAAGCAGGAATGTATGTTCCATGTGAGAAATTGGACGAACTTCTGAGGTATCTGACCAACCCAAGAGCGAAAACTTTAATGTAATCAACATTGAGAGTTCTCCCAAGGAAATGGGCCAGCCAGATCACCCTGGTGAAGACCACAGCCATGTTCACAGTGTTTCTGGAGAACCAATTAGTGTCACACTCTTAAGTATGAGCAGATAGGCAGTCCTCAGATATATGAAGAAAACCTTTAATACAAAAGACAGAGACCAACATAAGCAAGGATAAAAAAAATTAAAAAACTTAGAGAAAACAGAGACTATGCATCAGGAAAAAATCAAGACAAAAAAAATTAATATCCTCAGAGACTTAAGATATTGTATTTGTGAAAGAATATGTAATTTTAAGAAGTAAACAGTCAGAAACAAACGAGACTTTTAAAATGAAAGCATATAGCAGACATTTTTAAAAACTCAATAAATAAAAAGAGAAAGAAATCAAAACCAGGAAAGATGCATTTTCTCTTTGCTCAGATTGTTGGAAAATGGTGGCTTGTTTCATGCTTTTTAAATCTGTGTCTACTGCATGTTTTAACATGATAGATGGAATGCATTGTGTAGCTATAGTTTTCTGGAAAAGTCGGTCTTTCAGGAATTGTTTTTCAGATCTTCAGTAAGTTTTTTCCTTTAAATTACAAAAAAAGGAAGAAGAAGAAGAAGCTTCTGGCTGGCTCAGTCAGAAGAGCATGTAACTCTTGATCTCAGGGTCATGAGTTCGAGCCTCCCATTGAGTGTACAGATTACTCAAAAACAAACAAATAAAATGAATTAGAGAACCAGTCCAAGAAGTCCAACGTCTGAATAATAAGAGTGCTAAAATGAGGTAACAAAATGGGGTGTGTGTGTGTGGAGGGGGGTGTGAATCAAAGACATAATTTTTAAATTTCCCAAACCTGGGGCCCCTGGGTGGCTCAGTCGGTTGGGCGGCTGCCTTCAGCTCAGGTCGTTGATCACCGGGTCCTGGGATCGAGCCCTGCATTGGGCTCCCTGCTCAGCGGGAGTGCCTGTTTCTCCCTCTCCCTCTGCCTGCTGCTCTGCATACTTGTGGTCTCTCTCCATCTCTCTAATAAATAAATAAAATCTTTTAAAAAAAAAATTTCCCAAACCTGAAAGATGAGAATTTCCACAATGAAAGCGGTCATTAGGTACCCAGCCTGACAGATGAAAATAGGCCCACATTAATATACATCATTGAAAATTTTCAAAATTCTGGGGACAAAGAGACAATCCTCTAAATATCTGGAGTGGGTCAAGGAATAAAAATATTTTTTACAAAAGCTCAAGAGTCAGAAAGGTATTGAACTTGTTAAAATTAGTTCTGGATGCTAGCAGATAATTTCTTCGAATACCCTCTGTTTGCCTTCCCTAGAGAATGAATGGACAGTCAGCCAGGTGTGAGAAGGGCAGTCATTTGACTGCTCAGAGTTAGTCTTCTTGTTCTCTTTTCTACCTCCTGAAGTAGCTGCTGCTTCCAATTCAGAGCCCTCAAGGGGTGCTGCAGTAGAAGTTTTCCCTGTTGCTGGCTAAGACTTTGCTTTTTCAAATCTGCTAAATTACCACTTATCATTTGCTTTCCAGCTTTAGAATCTGTTACTATTGGCTCCTCCCCCTACCCCTCTGTTTTTCCTGTAGGCAAAGATTGAAAAACAACTAAATCCTGATCATCTGTAAGGAAAAGACAAATGATAACACCTCAAATGAACATTCAAGAGGTAGTATGATCATTTTGTTCAGACATATGGTAGTAAGTATAAAAATCATCTGAAATAAATTGACTGACTCCCAAGCACAGGAAATGATGGGATATCTGGTAGGAGTCAGGTCCCAAGACAGCTGTGTTAAGAAACAAGACGTGTAGAACAATTTGACTTTTCACACTATATCATGCGCAACTTAGATGAAAGGAAAAAGTTTAAAAGCAGGCAAAAGCAATACATAAACAGTTTACGGATACATAGCTGCATATGCATATATGAAAATATAATAATGGACTGGAAGGCAACCCACTAAACTCAAAGAGATGTTTTTCTGTCAAAGAGAGGGAAATTGGGAGGAAAAATGGACCAGGGATGTTGGTCAGAGGGGCCTTCAGCTAAATCTGTTACACTTTAGTTCTTAAAGATTTCTTTAAAAAAAAAAAAAAAGATTTATTTATTTATTTATTTGATAGAGAGAGAGAGAGATCACAAGTAGGCAGAGAGGCAGGCAGAGAGAGCGAAGCAGGTCCTCTGCTGAGCAGAGAGCTAGATGCAGGGCTTGATCACAGGACCCTGAGATCATGACCTGAGCCGAAGGTAGAGGCTTAACCCACTGAGCCACCAGGCACCCCACACTTTATTTCTAAAACAAAAAACAAAAATAAACAAACAAAACTGGAAGCAAATAAGGTAACTCTTTTTTAAAAAAAGTTAATTCTGAGTAGTAAGGATAATGGGTGTTTATTAGGTTGTTCTTTGTGCTTTTCTATATCTTTTCAATTTCTCGGCTTAAAAAGAGAGAGAGAGAGAGACTGCAGCAGGCAGAAGGGTGGGTCAGTGGCCAGACTGCTAAAGAGGTCGGGACCAACAGAGGCGGACCTTCCCACCTAGGAAGATGGACGACTAAGCTGACAGTGGCAAGGGACCCAGTGGAGCAGATGGGGGAGGAAGTGCCCCAGCGCTGAAAGCCTGGAGACCTGTTCTCCAGGCAGCGGCCAGGCCACAGGGAGCGCCCACCCCCCTCCTCTGCAAAACAAGCTCCTTTTTTACCCCACGGTATCTCTTTCAGAGATCTAGTTCAGGAGCTCTGGTAGAAAAGTGACTGCTGTGACTGAGTCATGAGAGCTAGTGCTCTCATATAAAAATGCTACAAGATTTCTTGATTGCCGGAATGTCATGGTCCTGGACCTCTGTCTGCCGCCTAACAGAAACATTAGCAAAAAGTGGGCTCACAGTGCCCTCTCGTGGTTACAGGGTCTATGTCAGCCTCTGCGACCAGAGTTCTGAGCTTTTAAAGCCCACAGTCAACTTTCCCTATATCTCATTCCTCATCCTTTACGTTAAGTATTCCAATTAAAGAAAGAAGGGATGGAGGGAATGTCCATGGAGGTGAAAGGAAAGAAAATTATTAACATTTTCCCTTATATCAGAAAAGATCATTAGACGACACTGATACATTTTTCTGTTTTGAATACTCCAGTGGATAAAGGTTTAAAAAAAAAAAAATTTGCTATATCCCTTGCTGAGAGGCACAAATGAGTGAGGTAAGCAAGCACCAAGGGATACAGGGAGGTGAGAAGGAACCCAGCCCAGGAAACCTGGAGGGGAAGAAAAATCCAGAGTCAGAGCTGAGCCTGGAGAGTCTGGACTTGGTGGTTAGGAAAATCCTGGGCCCCGCATCTGTCACGTACAAACTGTGAGGTTGTGCATAAGTTATTTTGCTTCAGTGAACTTATTTCTTCAAATAACTAGCTTCTCTGATCCCCTGAATTAAACAAGAGGCAGTCAACGCAGTGGCCAAAAGCCCACTCTGGAGCCAGATACCCTGGGAGAATCCCAGCATGACCTCTTCCTATGTGGCCTCCGGTGAACTGTCAAACCTCTCTATGCCTCACAGATCTGTGGTGAGATTCAGTGGATTAATGCATGTGAAGTGCATAAAAAGGAGCCTACCAAGCCCTCAGTAAGAGTTAGCTGTGATTATAATCATTCGTGTGTAACATACCTAGAATAGGATCAGATCAGTATGTTCCTTCCCCAGGTTCCCTTCCCCAGGAATCTGGCTCTGGGCACAATGCTTACGTTCCCATCACATAAACAAACCTGGTCCGTACTCCACAGTACCTTCCCAGTGTGTGGGTATCACCCTCTTTCCTCCACAGATCCTTTCCACATGATCCTGAGTCCTTACAACCCACTTCCCAATCTTCTACTGACATATTTTGGAGGAAGTGGAGCTAACAGGCTTTCCTTGGGGAAGTCTGAATTCCTTTGACTGCCCAGTTGTGGGTCAGAAAGCACTGGTCCTACTGACACCCCTTTAGGAAGGAAGAGGGCCCCAGATGTGGGGGCCCAGGATTGCCACTGGAGCCATGCTCACCGACACGAGCAGGGGGCCCCTTGTTCCAAACGTCACTGCTGAGGCAAGCTGCATGTTCTTGCTCAATCACCTTCTGGGCAGTCCCCAGTGAGGCAGCCGTGGCCACAGAAGAGCTTTTGTCCATAGGGAGCTGACTGGCCGGGAAGGACAGCCAGAACATTAAGTGGACATCAGCCTGACATCTGTCAGTTGTGGCCTGAAGAGCACCAAGCTGCCGGCCTGTCAGAGTAGCCTGAGGAGGAAGTGGGGAACATATGTCATCAGGACAAGGTAAACAGGTCAAGACCAAGGCTGATGGATTGTATTTTATTTTATTTTATTAAGGAATCTCTACTCCCAATGTGGGGCTCAAACTCTCAACCCTGACATGAAGAGTCACATGTTCTAATGACTGAGCCAGTCAAGTGCCCTGCCCAAGACCAGGGCCTCTGAAAAAGAAGCACACCGAGAGTTTATACAAAAACCTTTTATTTATTGTTTGTATTCCTTCTCCCCATCCCTATCCCCGATCTGGAACCCAGCCAGCTCCTACAGCTTCCTGCTGTCTGATTCTTGACATTGGGGCCTCGAGGACAGAGTTAGGGGTTACGAGAGGAGGGAATCTCCTCACCCACCAGTTGTGGAAGTTGAAGGAAGCTTTCCTGCCTGGCTGAAGCTCCAGCAGCCTCCCAGGGTAGCCCCTCAAGTCAGAGGACTGATCCCCCATCAGATGGATGGGAGGAAGAGATAACACGCGTCTCTCAAGGGCCCAGAGGCTCCCTGTCACTCACTGCTCCTACAGCATGCCCGGGCTCCACAGCTGAACCAATCGCTCACCTGGAGATGGAGCCCAGCATCAAAGGGAAAGGGTCTGGGGGAGGGGTGGAGCATGCAGAAGTTCTGGGTCCTAATCAACAAACGGGAAACAGGAAGAGGTTGGCTTGGTTGAACTGAAAAGGGAAAGGGGGAAGGAGGCTGCTTACTGGCCTGGGGTCAGGCCAACTGGACACCTGTGAAGAGACATTATAGCCCGTAGGAGAATGGGCACTTCCAGCTCCACAATCACCTGGAAGGAGGAGAAGGGAGCCCTGCCCCCACTTAGACCAAGGGCTCATGACCTAAGAAACACATCTGGTCTGAGAGGGCCAGAAAAGGGCAGCCAGCACTTGTCTGTCAGGCATGGGCTTGGCTGCCTCATTGGCAACCACAGCCCACTCTGGGCGGTGTTGCCCCTGTCTACCGTTACTGTCCCCCCCTCCAGCAGATGGATATTGCCAGCCAGACTCCAGCTGGCAGGGTAGAAACAAGGACCCCAAGCTCCAGGACCCTTCCCTGGATGAGGCCTACCCGTGGAGATGTCAGGGCCCTTTCCCACAGTCCCATCGCCATGAGCCAGACAGAGAAACCTCCTGGGAGGGCACTGCACCCTCAGGTTCTCCAGAAGACAAGATCCTGGGGAGGCACTCTCGGGGAGGATGAAGAACCTCAGAATGTGAGGTGTTTTTTTTTTTTTTTTGCTAGCCCAGGTCCCACTCTCCAGGCTCAGAAGTCTGAATCTGCATCCATGAGCTCGGCCTCCATCAGGTTGGTGCGGGAGTGTATGGGCCCCAGCCCCTGCCGGCAGCCCTGAGCCCAGGCTGTGGAAACTGCAGCACTGGGCAGAAATGGATCCTGCAGGGGACCGGGCTCTGGGCAGAAAGGGTTGGAGACCAGGGTCCAGGCTCTCTGTCGGCAGGATTCCCCAGCTCCCCAGGCCCCTGCAGCCACCAAGCACTTCTGCCGGGGCAGCTGAGGCAGGCGAGGAACAGCGCTGGTGGCAGGGACAGGGGCGGGGGGGTGAAGTTCAGGAGGTGGTGCCAGCGGGCACACCTCCTTCCTCTTCCTCCGCTTCTTCTTCCGGCCCAGGCGCTTCTCTAGCTCTGGGGAGATCTCCGCCTCAACCAGCCACAGGTTGGCTTTCTCCTCCGGGGGCACTGACAGCAGGAGAGAGTACGGGAGCTTGGGATGCTGGCTCCGTCCACATCACCCGCTCTCTCCTCAGACCCCTATTTTTGAGCTCTGAGACCCACAACTCTAGGTCTCTAGTGCCTCAGCCCCACACTCTAGACCCACCAGGGCCTTCCTTTCTCCCCCCCCTCTGGCAGCTGCTGGTGCTCAAGTCCCAAGAACCCCCAACCTCCATGCCCCCCACCTTCCTACAGAAGCCTGACTCCTTGTACCTGGAGTTGCCACAGGGGTGACGGACACATCCTGGGGCAGTATGGCTCCTCTCCGAGCCACCATCTTCGTGACATGTTGGGCCCAGGTAGAGGACACATCGGCGGAGGGCTCATTGAGGTCAAAGGCCAAACCCGCTGTGGGGATGGAAGGAAAGGCTAAGCATCGTGACTGCCTTGGATGATGGCTCCTCCCTTACCTTCTCCCAGCAGCTCCCTCCCCGTCCACCAAGCCCAGAAAGCCCACACAGGTGATCATAGTGATCTACCCAGTCCTAGTCTGAAGAGTGGGGCTTCACTAGAGCCCAGGAGCCCAGTTCCTGGAACCCTCACTTACTCTAGCCCAAGGAGAGCAATTGGAGAAGACAGAATAAGGGAGAGGAGATGAGTCCTTTTGAAACCAAAGTACCAGCAAGCAGACCCAAGGGCCAAAGCAGAGGGCAGCATAGCCAGGGAGGAAAGGGGGACTGGAGAGAGTTGAGTGTGTAAGAAGAGGCTGGGGTGCTTTATTCCTCTGAGCCTTCCAGACAGCCCATGTGTCCACACCAGCACAGGGGGATGGGGCCCAGGTACTATGGGTGTTGAGGGGCTCCAGTGGAGGAAAGGGGCCCGAAGCTCACCCACAGGCCCATCGTGGGAGACAGTGTGCATGCTGAAGGAGAGCTCCTGGCCTGGGTTCTGGAGCAGCTCACGCCGCTTGGAGAAGGCCTTGGCAATCATTTTGCTCTTCTTGATGCGTTTGGGCTCATCATCACTCTGCCCAGTCAACCTGAGAGCAGAAGGGGTGGGGAAGGGAAAGTGGAGGAGCAGCCACTTTCCACCAAATCTTGTGAAAGACCAGTGAAGCCATCCCCTCCAGGGAAGCAGCCTCCAGAGGGCCCCAAGTCCCTCAAGGACTCTGCCAAGAAGTGGGGATAGAATTCAGGGCTCCAGTATGCTGCCCAGGACTCAAACCACTCCGATCCTTCCACTCTTAGAAGATGCTGTCACCAGGGGGCAGTGCTGAGCCACAAGAAGGCAGCTTCAGGCAGCCCAGTGCAGACCCTTAGAAAACCGGCCTGCCCCAGACTGCCAGGACACCAGGGACCCCATAACATCTATCGGTGGGGACACCAAGCCTGAGAAAGTAAGGCCACACAGTCAGAACCAGATGCCTCCTGACCCCACCTGCACCAGGTGCGCCTCCAGATGAGCAACGTGGCCTTGGTCCAGACCCAGGTGCTCATGGCAATGCCGGTTCCAAACATGGCAAACAGGTTGATCTTCTCCACCAGGAGGCTAGGGCGATTCTTGATTTCACAGTCGGGGATGGGCTTCTTGGTGGGCAGTCCGATGGTCACGTTGGCCTGGCACCTATGGCGGGGGCGGAGGGGCGGGCAGCAGACAGCGAGGCTTTCTGGTCTCCTGAGTGGTACCCAGGCAATCAATCCAAAGACTTCAGAAAGAGCTAAGTCCCACAGCCATGATTCACCACCCTGGGTGCCCGTTAGTCACTTGGGACATTCGAGTTACTTTTAATAACTACTAGTGTCTGGGTCATGCCCCAGACAATTAAATCAAATCTCTGGGGGAGGACCAGGCATCAGTGTGGTTTAAAGACTGGAAGCTGGAGCCTTTACGGAAGAGCCGGAGGCAGCCAGGACAGGGACTGGTGTCCATTTTAATGAGCCCCGTAACTGTCCTTCCTGCCATCAGCAAGTGTTTCCGAGGGTGAGCTGCCTTACTCTCCGATTCCTCTCACGGGGACACAAAAAAAGTACAGACAAAGCTGCCAGGCATTAACAGGTTGTTAACCTATCGTGGAGAGGTAACTACTTCTGTGCAGGGCTCTATAATAGGCTCCGTGAGAGCAGCCAATAGAGTTGTCGCCGTTACAGACACACTAGCCAGACCGTGGCTCATGCAGAGAAGAGGGCAGAGCTGAGCCAGGGAAGGAATGCCATCTGCCGTGTTCGCAGATTACAGAGCAAATGACATCTTGGGCGCCCAGAGCGAGACAGGCAGTTTCACCTGCCGTGGGAGGCAGGAACCCGGGGCTGAGGGACAAGAAGGGCAGGGTCCGCAGTCCTGGCTCCAGCTCCTATGGTGGCTGACACCCCGTCCCCTCCAGCCCCCACACTCACAGCACATAGTCCCGGAAGCTCCGCTCCCACTCAGCCTGGTTGAAGAAGTCGTAGAAATGGCAGCTGAAGGTGATAAGCACAAAGCCGAAGGCCAGGAAGCCAAAAATGCCTGTGGAGGGCCAGGGTGGGACAGAGCATTACCAATCCCAGGTGCAGGGGCGGCAGTGGGGACCAGGTATTTGCCCCACTCGGGTCTGAAAGATAGCTGATTCTGGGGCGAATCCATGGCAGGCTCAGTTTTCTGTGTTCTCCAAAATAAGGCCCAAAGGGCACTTGAGCCAAGTGTGGAGCAGGGGGCACAAGGAAACAGTCCTGGCGTGAACTTGAATTCTTCCGTCCAAGAAGGTCCCTTTGAGCTGCTACCACCATCACCCACCCCCTCACACACACGTGCGTGTGCCCCAAAGCCTTGTCTTGTCCTCCTGGCTGCTAACTTGCACCACTGACATTGCTTCCCCCCAGACCCTGTCCTGCAGGTCCCACAGCCCCCAGGAGGGTACAATATTGGACTGGCCAGCATCTTGGGCCAACGGCCCTGGGGGTCCACTCACCCAGGCGCAGCATGGTCTCGTTGATCTTGCTGGCAGCCTTCTCACTCAGCAACCCGGGATGGTTGCTCTTGATGGAAAACAGAGTCATGACTCCTGAACATAAGAGAGACCCCAGGCATGAGTGGGGGCAAGGCCACTCTCTCCCGGGAGGTTTGGGTACAGCAGGGAGTCCCCAGTCTGATTACTGCTATGATTTAAAGCTTGGGGAACTGGAGATCCTGGAGAAAGGAAGCACAGTTGATGGGAAATGTGCTGTGTACTGGAAAGACCGGGGCAGAGTCCAGGACAGACAGACAACAAGGGAGAGGAAGGGCCTGGGTCCTGCTCTAGCCATCCCTAAGCAAGGCAGCCAGGTCAAAGCTGTGCTGATGGAAAAGGCAGAGAAAGAGACGCAAGAACAGTGCTAGCCAACAGAAACATAATGTCAGCCACATACAGAATCTCAATCTGTCCAGCAGCCACAGGAAAGAAGTAAACAGATGCAAGTAGCGCTGACTTCCATACGTTACATAAGCAGTATGTCATTGTTTATTTAATTAGCATCTCAACATGGAACCCATAGAACAAACTATTAGTGAGATAGTTTGCTTTCTCCGTGCGAGGTATTTGCAATACAGCGCGGATTTCATATTCAGGACACAGCTCAGGCTGGACCAGTTTCAGCACATGTGGCTGGTGGTGACCATAGAGGACAGCAGATACAAAACACGCATCAGAGGCCCAGAGACGGCCAGCTAGAGGTGGGCTGAACGGAAGAAGGCTGACAGCACAGGGGAAGGAGGCTGAAGATTACCAAGAAAACGCAACATGAGTGAGCTAAGAAGAGAGGGAGGCTCACTGTGGAGGTGGTGGCTTCAGATGGGAAATGAGGGAACAGTGAATCTGTGTGTGTTGTGGAAACTTTGTGGGTAGGGAATGGATGAAGAGCTAGGCTCCAAGAGGTGGAGAGCAGATAGAAATTTGGGGTGCACACACACGACCGAAAGCCCTGCGCTGGTGAATGGGGGCAGGACGGACTCTTTAGCACATGAGGGCAGCTGCCCCAGGGACCCAGCTCAGGATCTGTTCCACAGGCTGTGAGCCCTGGCCCCTGGGCCTAGAGTAAGGGGCTGCATTTCCCTGGCCAGACACCAAGGGCCATGACACTGTGTCTGCCTCAAGTGGGCACCTTCCATGTAGCACCAAGGCCCTGGGTGAGCTGACGGAGGTCCCACTGCAAAGGCAGCTCCTCACTCCTACTTCCACAGAGCAGGTGCCCGGAGGATTTTGTCACCCAGCTGGCGCTGGCCCCAGACGCTCACTCACCTCGGATGAGGAAGTAACCTCCTACAATGAGCACCAGGCCAATCGGAGCCAGGACGAAGCCGGCCCGATATCGGTAGTTCTTGTAGCCAACGAAACAGATGCCGCTCACAGAGTCCCCATCCACCTGAGGCAGGAAGGGGTGGGTGGATGGGACAGAGTGGCTCACCGGGACCCCTTACCCAAGCCCACTCCACTCACGTCCCCAGCTCCCTACCAGTCACTGTACCTGGGCCACGGCAAGGATTGCCACGGTGAGGACAAAGGGGAGTGACCATGTGAGCAGGTGGAAGTAGGAGGTCTTGCCGGAGAGAGGCTGGTAGGTGGTGCCCAGGGCTTTGAAGGAAGTGTGCCAGGCATAGGTGAGGACCACAAACCAGACAACACCAGCCATCAGGGCATAGTACACGATGACAAAGATGATGACGCAGGACAGGGTCTCGTTGGAGCTGTGCAACATGTGACATGTCTCTTGGTGAGGTCATTCTGTACTCCCTTCATCAGCTCTCTGCACCCTGTCCCCCCGGACCCTTGGCTTCTCAGGTCTGGACTTTCCCTACGAATCAGGGCTTGGAGACAGGACGCAGGGGGATTTGAAGAGGGTAGGGAAGATGCCCCTTGGAGCAGATGCGAACCATCACAGCCCATTCCAGAACCTGGTGGAATCTTTGGGCACCCAGGGCAGAGCTGAATCCGACACTAAAATCTCACTTTCAAGCCCAACCTGTCCCTTTTGCGGGAAACACACATTTCAGCCTTCTGCCCCTCACCCTCACTTCTGGGTCCCCAAGACACCTACGTGGGCTCCCCAAGCCTCATGGTGCCATCTGCCCGGCAGACGATCTCCCGGCGGGCGCCGTCCATGAACTGGGCCAGCCAGCCAATGCTCCCCACAAAGAAACACGCATTGACATAGAAGAGAATGACAGCGGGGTAGCGATTCGAATTCCGCCAGTCAGCCACAAATGTGGCCTGGAAGAGAGAAGTGAGTGGCCGTTCTATGAGGTCAGGGTGATTCTGCTGCCACAAACGCCCTGGTCTGAACACCGGGCCCCTCCTTTCCAGACCCTTCCCTGGGGGCCAGATTGGGTCACTGCCTCCCCACTTCCCTCTGCCCCTGCAGCCCAGCCAATTGACAATCCACTTCCTTCCCACTTCATGGGCTGCGCATTCTAGGCCCCCTTTCCCCTGACCATTCTCCCCGCCATCCCCCTCCAGGCCTGCAACCCCACCCCCACTCCCCCCACCCCCACTGACCAGGGTAAAGAGCGTGCAGAGGCCTGTGACTGCCCCGAAGGTGGCGATGTAGCTGTGCATGTCGTGGTGCTCAGCCTCGGTGAATAGCGGGTTCTGGCACTGGATCCCACAGCCCTCCACGTCCTCGTACCAGCTCTTGGGGTTGTCAGTCCGAACCAAAGGAGCCTCGCACTGGCCCGAACTGTTGAACTTGATGTTCTGCATCTCATTCTGGCACAAGGGAAGGGGAGAAGGCAGTGCAAAAGGGAGCAGGGGACCCAGGGGCGCCCTCTGGTTGAACATGAGGCCTAGGGGTAGCACGGCAGACTGCCGGAGAGCACAAGCTGGAGACAGCCTTCCAGCTTCTGAATCCCAGTCTGGCCACTCAGTGACAAATGATATTAATAGTCTGGAGCAAATTATTTGACCTGTTACCTCAGTTTCCCCAGCTATAAGAGAGTTGTTCCTACTTCACGGTGTGAGGTAAGGGTTAAATGAAGAAATAGATGTAAACGGCTCATATGGTATTTGGCAGGTAGTGAGTATAATAACCAGTATTATTACCAATATCACTGCTGCTATCATTACTTATGAGCTCTCCTTTACCACCAGAAGATCACCCTCCTGTCTCCGTGTCTCTAGTTGTTGTATGTGTACTTGCCATCGTTCCCTAAATACATGATAACCCTCTTGGAAAAGGCGTTCCTGTCATCCATGATGCCCGAAACCCCCCAACACCTAGGAGAGTGGGTGATCCAAAAATATTTGTTGAACACAGTTATCTTTTATAAATAAGCAGATAATTCTTAACAGACAGGTCCAGCCAGTGAGCGTCAGTTTGAGTACGTGGCTCCTGGACCCCATGGTTGCAGATTTGGGGTCTCTCAGCAGAGAAGGCTGGGGAGCTCCCCTGTCCCTGCCTCCTGGGGGGCCCTGCCCTAAGCCTGGGGCTTGCCCCTCAAAGCACTCACTGGGCAGCCTTCGGGGAAGAGGTCAGGGGTGCAGCGCAGGAAGTCAGGCCAGCCGCGCTCCCGCTCCACGATGGCACAGGGCCCTCGGGTGGCCTGGCAGAGGGTACGGCTGGGCAGCTCCACCCGGTCATTCTCGCATTTGGGCATGTACACAGCACACAGCAGGGGCTGGATCACTGCCCAGCAGCGGGGGGCATTCCGGAGGCCTGTAGGGAGGCAACAGTATGGATACATTGCAGTGAAAGCCCTCCGAGCGGCGACCCCCAGCCACAGCTGCTCCCGGGCCGAACGAAGGCAAGTCTCTGGGCCACAACGCTAGCAGCTGCTAGGCATGGTGTCTCCCAACAGGGCATTTGGGCAGCACGATTCTTGGTGCTGCAGGACTGTCCGACAGAGTGCAGGACCTTTAGCCTCCCTACACTCCTGCCACTAAATGCCAGCAGAACCCCGAAGTCATGATGACAACCCCCAAATGCCCCTCTTTCTTGCCCTTCCTCCAGGGTCGGTGACTGGAAGAAGGCCTGAAAGGGAGCTTCTGGGATACTGGGAACGTTCCATTTCTCGATCTGGCATCAGATACGTGTGTGTGCTCGCCTTGTGAAAAGCAAGCCTGTGATCCATGCACTCTTCTGTATGTATCTGGTAATTCAATTTAAGTTTTTAAAAAGCAGCCTCCACTTCCAAATGCCCTGCCAGGGAGTATTAGTGCCTCTGGCTGAGAACCCCAAGTCGACTTGCCTTTTACCTTCTCAGGAGCATTCTTAAAACCTTCTACAGGTCTCTTCCAGGGGAAAGGGAGGTGGTGGGACCCACCCCACGAAGGGCTCATGCACCAGAACCAGATGTGGCCCCTCACCCAGATCCCAGGATCCTTGTTCCTCTTACCGAGCTGAGGTGAAACAGAGAACAGGTGGGAGCTTAAGAAGAGGTAGTCAGGGAGTCCTCCAAAGCCAGAGGAGGAAACAGGAAATCAGATGGAGAAACAAAGAGGAGGCTCTGTCCAGTGCAGAGGGAGGAAACGTGTTGTCAGCAAGACAGAAACAGGTAGAGGTCTCCCGGCACCCATGACCCAACCCAGGCCTCTCCCCTGCTCCCCAGTGGCTAGGCCCACTCAGCATTCTGCCCCCACTGCCCGTCCCAAGTCATTCCCTGCTTCAGGAATACCTGCTGCCCACACAGGAAGTTGTGTTCGGAGAAGCTTCTAAGAATATTAGACCAAAGTCGGTGACTGCCACACTGCCAGGCTGGAGGTGATGGGGCAGGTATCTGCCCTTTTTGGGAGGAAAGCAATACAGTAGAGGGATACAGGGCATGGAAACTACAATGAACCTCCCTGAGTCCAAGCTTTGGCTCTACCATTTCCCAGCTGTGTGATCTTGGGCAAATTACTTTACCTCTAGCCTCAATTTCCTCATCTGTGAAATGGGGATAATAGAGTTACCTCATGGGAATGTGAAGAGTTAGATAATGTATTGAATGTGTTTAGCATGGTACTCGTCAGACAGGAGGCACTCAGGAAATACCAGCTGTTTTACTCATTGGCGATCTCTGACCACTCACAGCTCGAACTACCCCAAAGGCTATTCCCAGAGCACACAGCAAGTTCCTGGCAAAAAGCAATGTCCTGGGATGCCTGGGTGGGTCAGTAGGTTAGGCGTCTCCCTTCAGCTCACGTCATGATCCCAGAGCTCCCTGCTCAGTGGAGAGCCTGTTTCCCTCTGCCTGCTGCTCCCCCTGCTTGTGCTCTCTCTCTCTCTGACAAATAAATAGATAAAATCTTAAAAAAAAAAAAAAAAAAAGATCTCTAAAAAAGAAAGAAGCAGCAGCAGCAATGTCCTCAGTTAATTGTTCCCAGACCCAACTCAAATCAAAATCACCTGTGGACCCTTATCGTTCTAGATGGAGAAACCCACTCTCAGAAATTCTGACCAAGTGGGTATGGATGGAGAACACAGCCATGGTTGCCAGGAGTTGGATAGAAGGAGAATTTGCCTACAAAGGGGCAGCACGAGGGAATATTTGGGTCTGATGGGATTGTCACTACCTTGAGTGTAGTGGCTGGTTATGTAACTATGTGTTTGTCTAAATCCATAGAACTGTACAACAAAGAAAAAGTGAATGTTACTGCATGTTTACTGAACAATATATTTAAAATGGGGGGGGCTGACTGGAGTAAAATGTATTCTTTTTTTTTAAGATTTTATTTATTAATTTAACACAGAGAGAGACAGTGAGAGAGGGAACACAAGCAGGGGGAATGAGAGACGGAGAGGGAGTAGCAGGCTTCCACCGAGCCAGGAGCCCGATGCGGGGCTCGATCCCAGGACCCCGGGATCATGACCTGAGCCGAAGGCAGACACTTAGCAACTGAGCCACACAGGCGCCCCAAAATGTATTCTTGAGGAGCAGCAAGCAGTGGATTAATAAAAGCATTGTGTTATTTTTCAGCATTTTGTAATATCTGCAGTATTCAACTTCTAAAAATGTGGAATTTTGTTGTTTTTCTTTTTTTTCTTATTTTAAATATTGTTTTGTACCTTAAAAATAAACTCCCCAAGGAAAAGATAATTAAAGAAATATTAAAAGAACTATCTAGGGAAAAAATAATTTGGATCCTTACCCCATTTCTTACATAAAAATAAATTCCAGGTGAATCAAAATGACTACATGAGTTTTAAATATTAAAGTACCAGAGGAAAAGATGGGAAATGGTTTTTATTTTTATTTTATTTTTTTTTAAGATTTTATTTATTTATTTGACAGAGAGAGAGATCACAAGTAGGCAGAGAGGCAGGCAGAGAGAGAGAAGGGGAAGCAGGCTCCCCACTGAGCAGAGAGCTGGATGCGGGGCTCGATCCCAGGATCCTGAGATCATGACCCGAGCCGAAGGCAGAGGCTTAACCCACTGAGCCACCCAGGCGCCCCAGGAAATGGTTTTTAAAATCTTGAAGCAGAGAAGGCTTTTTGACGTATGACACAAAATTCAGAAGCCATAAAATAGAAGATTTTAAAAGACTTCAGAAGAACAGATAAATTCAGTAAAGTAAAATATAAAATCATAAGAAAATCAACACACTGAGAAAATGTATTTTGGATCCATATCACAGGTAAGGAGCTAATTTCCTTATGTGCATGAAGCTCTTCCACATCAGAAAGAAATTCATAATCCTATAGAAAAATGGGCAAAGGCAAAGATCAAATACAAATGGCCTTTAAACACATAAAGAGACATTCAATCTCAATTTTTTAAAGATTTTAGTTATTTGAGAGAAAAAACATGAGAGAGAAAGAGCACAAGCAGTGGAGTGAGAGAAACAGGCTGCCCATTGAGCAGGGAGCCCAATGCGAGACTCGATCCCAGGACCCTGAGATCATGACCTGAGCCAAAGGCAGATGCCCAATCAACTTAGCCACCCAAGTGCCCCCATCTCACTCTTAATAAACTAGTATGAAATAAAGCTACAATGAGATATAATTTTTTAACTTACAGAGTGATAAAGATGAAAACATTTGAAAACGTTGTATTGACAAGAATGTGGGTGGAACTGGCACTCACGTATACTTTTAGTAAGAACAGAAATTAATAAATACTTGTCGAGACTATTTGGCATTATCTATCAAAATTTTATACTTGCGATCCCACTTGACATGTTTACAAAGATAATACGTAAGATTATTCATTGCAGCATTGTTTGTAACAGCAGAAGAGTAGAAATGGCATGAATGCATGCCATCAATAGGAGACCAACTACATAAAATATCATGAATCAATATAATAGGACACCATGCAAGGTTGCACTGAAATCTATCTCCAATGCATCTAGTTAAATGGATATGGTTGAGTGAGAACAACCTGAAGAGCAGGCTACTACTGGTTGTAGGAGGAAAAAGACTCAGGACACAAATACATTTATACATATGTTGGATATCTCTAAAAGGACACACAAAAACCAGTACTGGTGATTGCCTCTAGGAAGGGGAAACCGGTAGCTGGAAGCAGAAGTGGAGGGATTTAACTTGTGTTACTTTTGATTTTTGTACGTGTGCTTACTACCAATTTTTAGAAGTAATTAGTCTTAAAAAAAAATGCAAATGACTGAGATGGGGGAATCTCCCTAGAGAAGGGAACAAAATTGTAGACATGAAGGGGACATCAACTTTGTATTGTTTTATTTCTTTGATTTTATTAAAATATGAAACAAAAAGAAAAAAATAAAGACAAGTGTTTTATTAGTCTTGGCATTTTTCTATATTCATAGACTTCTTAAATATTTGCCACAATTTCAACTTTTTTTTTAAAGATTTTATTTATTTATTTATTTGAGAGAGAGCAAGTGAATGAGAGAGAGAGCACAAGCCAGCACACAAGCCAGGGGAAGAGGCTGAGGGAGAAACAGACTCTCCACTGAGCAGGGAGCCCGACACAGGGCTTAATCCCAGGACCCTGGGACCATGACCCTAGCTGAAGGCACAGGCTTAACCCAACTGAGTCGCCCAGGTGCCCCACGATTTCAACTTTTTTTTTTTAAAGATTTTATTTATTTACTTGACAGAGAGAGATCACAAGTAGGCAGAAAGGCAGGCAGAGAGAGGAGAAAGCAGGCTCCCCGCTGAGCAGAGAGCCCAATGCAGGACTCGATCCCAGGACCCTGAGATCATGACCTGAGCCAAAGGCAGAGGCTTAACCCACTGAGCCACCCAGGCACCCCGATTTCAACTTTCTAAATATATTTTTTAAACTTTTTAAAGATTTTATTTATTTGAGAAAGAGAGAGCATGCATGGGGGGAGGGCAGAGAAAGAGGGAGAAGCAGACTCCCCACTAAGCAGGGAGCCCAATGCTAGGCTTGATCCCAGGACCCCGAGATCATGACCTGAGCCAAAGGCAGATGCCTAACCCACTGAGCCACCCAGGGGCACTGCCACAGTTGAAACTTTAAAAATAACTTTTCGTGAGGTTCTGATGATCAGTCAAGTTGAAAACCATTGTTCTGAGATTGGCTTAACATTAGGAAAATCAATCAATGCAATTACCACATTAACAGATTAAAGAAGAAAAAAAATCATATGATCATATCAGTAGATGTAGTAGTTGATAGAGTCCAACATGCAACCATGATAAAAAGAAGAATAGGCAAATTAGGAATAAAAGAACACTTCCTTAATCTGATAAAATGTAACTACAGGCACCTACAGTAAACACGTAA